TTGAATCCTAACTCGTTTCCTAACTTGAATCCTAACTCGTTTCCTAACATGAATCCTAACTCGTTTCCTAACTTGAATCCTAACTCGTTTCCTAACTTGAATCCTAGCTCGTTTCCTAACTTGAATCCTAACTTGATTTCTAACTTGCGCTACTGATAGTTTCTCTCCTAGTTATCATACCATCATCACTTCTAAGCTGTGTTTTCCTGTTGTTGACAGCTTTTCCTCGTGCAATCTCTATGAAGTCTAGTTGACCCCCAGCATCAGACAATCTGCAACACATTAAAAGTTGTTTCTAGTAAAAACTAACAAACTTGTTAAAAAAGACTACATACTCCTTTGTTTGCAATATATATTGTATATATTATATATAACTTAAAATTATCGAAAATGTTTTGAAAAAAGTGCTCAACTTTATCAAGGAGCATTATTCATTCATTCATTCATTCATTCATTGTAACTTGCCTGACGAGTGTGGCCATCTCTGATGACCATAAGAAACCAGCTTGTAGCAATAAAACAATGAATCATTCTAGTCTTTAAGTGCAATTTTATTTTTTATATTATATATATATATTGTATACAGCTTTTTGCAAAAATTATGAGAATTGTCTAAATATCTAAATATCATAATATCCATATCCACATATTGTCCGGAACACGAGGGTTTACTAGAATAATTCATTGTTTACATTGAGAAAATGTTCAGAACTACGGATAAGTCTGTCGCCAAAAAAACTAAACAACAAAGACAAGGGACTAAGGCCATCGCGCGGGATCATGCAACTTGATATTATGATATTTAGATATTTCAACAATTCTCATAATTTTTGCAAAAGGCTGTATATTGACAAGAGACGTATAATTTTTTATATATGAACACAATAGCCGACTCATTTGTGAAAAGACAATAGTTTTTGCACGGCGCCTCGTCTTGATTCTTTTGTGTTCGACTACTTGGGAGAAATTCGCAAATCGGCTATTGMAAACATTGATACACAAAATATAAAATGCAATTCATCTAGGAAAGGCTAAGAGCACCAGTATAGAAGTGAGAACCGTTTACAACTTCTTTCCAGAATAACTGACAACTTACTTAAAAAGTACTTTCTCTGTAGTTTCATCATCCTGAATTTTTGGCTGAAATGAAAGAACAAAAAAATAGAGACAAGAAAAAAAGAAATCATATTCATGCAAGTGCGACCGTTTTCATAATGGACTTACTTGAGRCTCATYAGTGGGATCGGCTGCCTGACCAAACAAGTCCTCCAGATCCTCAGGAATATCTCCATCTTCTTGGTCATCTGATWTAAAAACATCAATCATTCATAAATTTCTGTAATTTTGTGGGTCTAAATAATGAGTCTTGTTCCCAACAGAGCAAAAATCATTTTTTTCTCTCCAAGATGAAGGTATACTTGAMGTCACTGCTCCGGTCTCTGGACCAGATTTCAGATTATTCTAAGACACTCATTAACAGGATTTGCCTTTGCTGTCTTCAAACTACCTTATCCAGTCATAACTTACCAAGTACTTGTAATGAAGGTTTTCCTCCACGTTTAGACTGCAAAATAACAATCAGCGAACATTAACTCAGTATACTATAAAAATAAGACTGTTTTTAAACAAACTATGTATTGTATCTGTTGCGGAAATTATCCATCTGGATATAGCAAGTGGAACAGGAGGTCATACTCGGACCACCCTCGGGAACTGACAGCCACAATCTCCTGTTAATTCCAAAAACGAACGGCCGATTACGCCTGGGTTCCCGAGGATGTACTTGGCCTAAAATATATATACTGTGTTTGATTTCCCAAACATGGTCAAACCTAAATATTATAAACTTTCACTGTTGTTATGTTTATGTTTAAACAAAAGAAGAAATACTGTATTGTGATTTCTCCATAAGGTCTATGTAGAACTGCCTTATGATTTGCTTAACGCTTATTGGCTTACCCGTAATTCAGTAATGAAATTACCAGCTCCATACCTCTCCATCATATTGGAATTTACTCCATTCCACTAAAATATACAGAACATAGATTATTACAGACAGAGTTGTTTTGAATAAGGTTGTCGATGGGATAGGTAAATGGAGGGAACATTACTGCTGGTTTTTGCATAACCAGACACACTGTGAACAAACCTCAAGAATGACCTTGACTGATCGTGAGTGGAAGCAATAGCATTGACTTAAATGAGTGAACATTGCTATCAAGAATCAATAGCTCAGTAGCATTATTAATATCAAATGCATATTTCTTTTTCAAAAATCTAAGGACACATTATTGCCCACTCCTATATTATGTATCCATCCATAAAACACTGTGAGTAAAACTAAGGGACTGTTCACTTTTTACCATGCTGTGAACCATGGCATGTTTACCTTACATTCCACCCTCTCTGTTTGTGTAAATAAGGAATGAATAAATAATTGTGAATAAACATACACCATCACAAGACTGACAAAAGTTACAAATAAAATTTTTACTGCTTCACTCATCAAAAAAGATATATATAATGAAATATCATCAAAATAAATGAAAATTACTGGGATTATAGAAAATATAATTATGCATCCTGATTTGTATATCAAATACATATATATTGTACAGTTAGACCAAATACTTTATACAGCTTTACAGCCAACAAAAGTATAGTTTATTTTCAGGCATAAAATTGCTGTCAGTGCATATTTTTTTTTGGACTAGCTTTGATTAAATATTGATGCCCCACCTCTAAAGAATGACAGTTTTACCTGGTAAACTTCCAAACCCAAATCAATGACATAGACATCCTGTTGTTTCAAAYTCTGTTTGCACAGTGGAATCTGTTTAACATTCACATTTTTCTGTAAATAATAAAATAGAATTTAATGTTAATATGTTTAATGTAAATGTTTAATGTCATTTAATGTTGATTTTATTTTTTGTATTTACAAAATAAATGGAAATTTATGTTATAGACACAACATTACAAATTTTATTCATTGTTGAGTTTTCAGCTCAACAAGCCACATCAAGACTGAAAAATGTTTTACATTTACAAAAAACATGATAAAATATCAGTTGCATGCTCAAGAATATCTTATATGTAGTTGTTGGCATCCTTCTGTCTTAAGAGACAATGAAAAATGCGCCTGGYAGTCAGTCYGTGGTTTGGTGGCAGCTTTYGYCGTCTGCGTTCTCTCTTCCCCTTCTACTGGTCCYCTCTTGCTCTCACACAGCTGTATGCTTGTCTTCACTGCGCATCTGTAGGCCTCTCGATTGACAGCCRTGGATTCAAGGTCGGCARGGGCATATTAACTATTCGTTAATTAAACAACTAATTACATGGTATCATTCTCCCCTTATCCCTATTAATTTGTTAATTCTTTATGTCTAATTAACAAATAGTTTAAATGCATGTGCCTACTGTTTTTAAAACAGTAGATCTTTGTAAAACTATTAAGCACGATTCTTGGAGAAAATGTCTGTAAATTAAAGTTTGTGATAAAAGAGACAAATCTGATCATTATTTGAGTCCTTTACATGCATTGTGAAAGGTTCCAGACASTACTATGATAGTAGAACAAGCCATCAGCTGTTTAATTAGTCCATAAATTAACAAGCAAGCCTGCACAGTGAATTGTGAATAATCAGATTGTCCCATTTATCTCAAAACGTGAATTTATGGACATTTCTCCATCCAATGTTTGAGTTTAAAATTATTGTTTTCTATGCAATTAAAAAAATTCAYGATTGATTTGTTGAAGCTTTGCAGGAAATTTTGGAAGAGTAAACAATATACTGTCTGATATAGACTATAACAAAATACTTACTCTACTACCACTGACATGGAACAAATGCGGTTCATATTTCTCTGGTTGTACTGTCCTAAATCCAGTTTCAGCTCTGACAAGAAATACAATTTTTTTTACAAATTTGAAAATGCATCCATGCAGCAGAAATTGTAACTTACCCTCCTTCCATTAGTTCAAATTTTTTGAAGTAGCTACGGAATAAAGATGACTCGTGTTCCTCCACTTCTCTATGYTGAATTGGTTTATCATCAAGCTATAGAAAAGATTTTAAATCAACTCCTCTTTCAAGTGACAGAAAAATGATTGCCTTCTACAGCTAGTCAAGTAAAGGCCTTTTGATGTTTAAYAATATATGTCGAATACCAGTGATGTCGCCCCGAAGTGATGTCGCCCCGTGATCTCGCCCCATGTATATAAGTGATGTCGCCCCACACGTATAACATTGTATTATTGCTATTTTTCTGGAGCAGAAACTAATCAAGAGTTCTGGAGTTCTTGAAATGTCAAAGTTCTTGTTTAAGATATGTTGGTAAACTTAAATAATTTTCATCGGCAAACCACTGCAATGATCCACTCGACTCACGTTAACTATTTGTTGTTAACTAAGTACTTAATTCAGTGCCAAAAGACATGTATTTGTCTCACAGACTATTAGGCTTCAGATTTTCTGTCCTTTCAAGTAATTGTGAGTTATATGTTTGAGTATAATCAAACGATCTAAAGAAAAAACAGGCCAAAAACTTTTCACTTCGATCGCACGCCATTTTGTTTTGCTTAGTAACCGCGCTTTTATGGTTTACCTTTGCGTTTACCATGTCATAGTTTTAAAATTAGTTTTACTGGGCAAGGGCGCTAGAACTGAAATTATGACCTATAAGATCTAAAAATTGCTTAATTTATCCAACATAAGATAGTCGATAATAAATTGTAAAGTTTTACTTATCTGAAATATACACTGAAATGAGCCAGGTAGCACCGCTCGGAACGGGTCTCATGATAGGTTGAGAAAACAATGGACAAACAATAGATAAGTCTTCCAACAATATAACAAAACCTAACCTAACAATAGTGGTGCTGTACTTAAGGAGCAATCAAAAAGAAGGTTTCAATTGGTACTGCATTACTGACTGAAATGTCCTCTTAGACACTAAAAAGCACTTGATTTTACGAAATTCATCCAAATGATCGTTACTCAAGCGGTTGTTGCTGAATTTATTACCGCTGTCCTTGTTGTACCAGTCACTGCTGTCTCGCCAGGAACGTTATTCATTAACCGGATTAAAATCACTTTGCCCTGGCCGAACACCAAAAGAGTTTATATATATTTTGCATTACGACTGCATATATATATCAATAACTAAGTGGGGGCGAGATCACTTATATATGGGGGCGAGATCATGGGGCGACATCACTTGGGGGCGACATCACCGGATACCTATATGGAATGTCGAGTATCTTCTATTTCAAACTAAACTACTTTTAAAATAATACTTTTAAAATATGTACACTATTAGATTGAACACAATTGTTGGGAGGCAATTCACTCAATACTCCAGTTTCGAATTCTCTTCTGTGCAAGCTTACCAGCTTCATTCAAGCATAAATTTTTATTGTCTTCTTTGTAGACATAGTGTTTGCATTACAATAGATCCTCGCTGAGTAAAAGAATATAGTACATGCTTTCGAGGTTAAGGCTGTACAAATAAGATCTTGAAACTGTAGTGTTACTAACCTACAGTGTTTCAAATATCAATACAAGAAGTGTAATGAGCTATTTACTAGATGCATTTGACCTTGGATTCTATTCCTTTACTGCCTACAATTTAATATCCTAACATGAGAAGATGTTACATTTAGTTTCTGACAATGTGTAGCTGTGTACATGTCTCTCTTCAAAACTACACTATATGGTAACCTCTCTTTTAAAACCTGTATTAGCTATAAGAGTGGAGTGGTAGTCTGGACATCTACTGTACCTTTGACCATTGTTACTTAAGTTTTTTTTGCTAAGCTTGAAGGGGTTGATGGGAAGGATATAGAAAAACTTTTGCCTTTGACATAAATCATGATGGTTACAGGCATTCTGATATAGTGCGATGATGCAATTTCGCATAATCACCTAAAATCACATTTTTCTGCATAATAGATAAAAWTYGCATAATTAGTCCAAAATTGCATAGTTTTTTAAACAAACACATGTTTCCCATTAAGTTCTGTCTATTTCATTTTAGAATTTAACGATATAAACCTTTTTTAGTGGAAAATATTTRAAAAACCATCCAATATTCGATCACCAAACAATTAATATGATTTCGTCATTTATCTACGAGGCGTTACTTGCGTGACAGCAGAGTMTGGGAACTGTTGCTAGTTTTATGGTGGGGATCCTTTTCTTTTCTTCCAAATATTTCTTACATGTAGCATCTGGATTGATTTAATGGATTCTGTGTTTAATCTTTTCACAATATTTCTTCTGAATATTTTTTAATAAAAGTTAAAAAAGGTAGAAAGAAAAAAAGATGTGTCCAGAAGCTGCTCAAGTTGAGAATCAAACCCGCGATCTTCAGTTCTTATATTCGACGCTGCTATTCGAGTATGTGATAAGAAAACATTTTGTATAATGATAATATTGGAGGCATGAAAATGTGTAAATTGCTCTCATACTAAAATGCACCTTTTTACCGTGTCCAGGCCGAAAAAAAATTACAGCRACTTTTTTCACGTTGCAGTTTAGCAATCCCTAGGGACCGAAATTACAACTTGAAGCAATAAAAAGTCATTAGTCTGTTGTTTTAAATTAGATAAACACTAAAAGCCATAGAATTGTAAATGAAATGTTTTATGTGACAAAAAATTAAAATAAACACGAGAAAAAGATTTTGCAATATTGCCCAATTTACCGCATAATCGGGAATTTTTGCCGCATAATTGAACATTTTTTTGGCYGCACTATATCAGAATTCCTGTAAGTTAACATTAACTAGCATGCATAAATAAAAATCAAATAACATACCAAAGTATCAAGTTCTACAGTCTTGTAGGCAGCTGTGCCATACTCATCTTGCGTGGAATGTCTACCAATCCAGAAGTGTACATCATAATGAAGTTCCTGTGGTATGCAATAATACTTGTTTATAACAATGATATTTATAAAATTTTTGATATATATATCACATGCTCTGACGAACGTGTTTATATCAGACGACAGGGACACGGCTTACCGCAAAATTTGTTTTTCACTTGAAAAACGCAGAAACATTTTATAAAAGAACTATGCTGGTGTTTCTAAGCTTGCTTCTCTCATRCTTTTCAACTTCCACTGTGTTTATACCACAGGACAGACACACACCGTTTTATATTTCTTAAATACWTGTTATACATCATTGTATACAGCTACTTCCAGAAATGTTGATCGAGTACTAAATACATGTACTGTCTATAGTAACTCATTAATAATTCATGAGCTATTAGTTCAATGAGCATCAAACTATTGTGTCACATGATATGCCTTTAAATCCTGGTAAAGCACTGGGGCCAGTTGTACGAAGTGTGGATACCACAGATAAATCCCTATCCAGTGGAATAAAAACCCTATAGTAGTGGATAACCGGTGCATAGAGTGCAAGTCACATAAGCATGAAACAATTCTTAACTATGCAGYGCTAAATAAGATTTAGTTATCAACTAACTAAGAATTGAGACAATGCTACAAAGGAATTTAAATAATTGGCATTRTGTTTATGCTTTGTTGAATTCTTAGTTAGTTGATAACTAAATCTTRTTTAGCAATACATATTAAGAATTGTTTCATGCTTATGTGATGTGCACTCTAACTTTATCCAYCCTTCATACAACCGGCCCCTGATGATTAAGTATACAGTYGAGCCTTGATTATCCGGACCCTTTGATAAAAATTTCTGGATGTTGGAGCTCTAGAAGTTATTTATAGAACTTGAGTTCTGTGGCTTGAATCTCTACATCCTGATAAAACACTCASTCTTGCTCTATAAACAACACATGTAAATGAAGGCATTTTGAATGCATGTGCACAGTCGTATGCATACAGTACACTAAATTAGTTTATTAGTAACTAAATTGAATTGTACTTCATTTTGCTTACATCTGATTCTTTATCCTTGTAGGTGTTTAGGATAATGTAAGAGTCTCCATTATAGAATTTGCCATATTCCTCTTTTGGCCAGTGCGTAACCTATAAAATATAGGGCACAATCATTAAAAATTGCATCAATTTCAAATTTCCACTGCTAGTAGTCATTATCACCGATAGTAGATGAGTAAAATCAGTATCTCAAAGTCACGATTTACTGCATACGCAGTTTATTTAATTGTCTAATTCTAATCCTTGGAATGTTTTGATTCTATTAGAATGAAAAAAAAGCAATGATTGATAAAGCTGCATAATCCTGGATTGTATGAACAAGGTAGCCATAGAAACAAAACAGCCAATAACATTACATGTACATGCATGAAAACTTTTGAGCACCAAAATGTAATATACCAATTTTAATAGCTAATGGCAAAATAAAGAAAGAGTTACAAATTTGTCAGAAAAATGAAATGAATTCTTGTAAAATAAATAGACAAAAACATCATACATGTAATATAATTGTTTTGAAAAGTTCTGCAGGTACAAGTAACTTGATACTTCAACAATATTGCTAATTTATACAGTGACAATATAATTTGCATAGCTAGTCAATGAAACATTGTAAAGCACTCTTTATGGCACCTTAATATCTAATAATTCTTTCWCTAAAACACTGTAAGAACCAGAAGATATACACAATGGCAAGATTTTTGTTGAATACASACTTCACAGCACAAAACCAACAGTTTAGAAAGTTTTCATGTGCAAAATCTGATTTTATATGTGAAGTCATATTTTTTCCTTGTTGAATATCATAATGAATATCCTTGGATGTGTTTTCTTGAACCTTCTTTAATCATATCACTAAAGTACTAAATACATATTTTCATTTAACACATTACCTTATATGGCAATGTTTATAAATTTACCAAGCAAACTTTTACAAAAGAAATACCTTTCTAATGCAAATCTGACAACATGAGACATGTAGCAACTAAAAACACACTCCTTCACAAATATCAACTGTTTATAATTTTACAACAAGTAACATTATAATTAGAGAATATTATATAACAATCAAATGACAGAATTTCATAGCAAGAATGAATAGTACATTCAGGGATATCATAATGTAAAGTTGTTTAAAACTGAAATGAGATATCATATCATGACAGCTTTTAATCTTTTAAAGGTTGGCAAATTAGCAACCAAATAAAGCATAAGAGCTGACATAAACAAGAATTTTTGTGCATCATTCACACTAAATATTTTAACTGAATACACAATCCTTTGTGAAAGTTTGAATGGAAGATATATTGAACACAATACATTTATATGCGAAAGCAGTGTTGTGGATATACAAAAGAGATAATACTCATATATGACTCATAATTCTTATTGTACTTATTCATTGTATTTAACTTAAAACATAACATTATTATRTTGCAAGCTTTACTAATCTCAAAGAATTTCAAGTACCTGACAGGGAAATTAAACCGAACAATTCCTGAGTTATCTTATCATGCACAAGTGACTTTGAAGGGTCTGTTAATAAACTATTTATACATTTAGGTGGTTATGATGTAAACAATAAATTTAGTAAAGCATAAGCTAAAAGTTTATCCAAATTTAAGATTTGTAAAATCAATACAAACGTCTTCTTCTGAAAAGATAAGATAAGATTTGCCTCAAAACGCCATCATGCTGCATCGCTAAGCAAAACATACCCTAAACCATTAGAAGATTATATTGATATTCAGAGAAATACAGTCAACTATACGCATAATATATGCATTTAAGACCTAAGTAGGTTAACATTTAACTTACCGTGAATTTTACAATTCGCCATATTTGAAGGCCAACTTTCTGCCCCGCACCTTTCCAAGCTATTTCAGTCTCAGCAGATTCTTTCTTCACCTAAAGTTCAAAAATAAAAGTACTACTTATGAGCAAACCAAGCGGAACAAGTGGTTTCTTAGTTTTGTAGAGCAAAGTAAAATGAATTATGCAGTTCCACAAAAAGAAGCAGCATGCAAAACAAAATGGCTACCACTGACGACACAAGCTTAACAGTACAAAATGTATTAAACCCGCTTTTTTAGGAGCAAAGTCCTTTGGGCAAGAGATTAAATTTAAGACAATCGTTTATAAACACCTTATCAATCCCTCATAATTGTCAATTTGGCCAACTTTAGCAGAAAATGTCTATAAAGTCCTGTAATCGGGCCGAGAGTCGAGAACTGTCCATTGCGACTCGACAACTTGAGCCCTCGTTGCAAACCGGCTCGTTTCAAATTCCAGCCAGGCATTTGATGCCTCAACATCTAACATCTTGAGCTTTTGTTACAAATGAGGAAAATATAGATAAAGTTTGCTTGGAATTATTTTAGCCTTAAGGTTCTAAAGTCAACTGCCCATGTTAAAAAAGGCACATTATTTTGCACCTGACGATAGGGCGTACTTACATTTTTCTCTACGTCTGTTCCAAAAAGAGCTAAATTCGAGTCTTTCCAGTCATACTGCTTGGCTTTTACTAGACCACTCATTTTTAAACTATTTTTCAACACACCCTTTTAAAGACAGARGCGTTCAAGACTGGTTGTGTTGATAGTCTCATAGGAGATTAGCGGGATGACCTGATTGGTTTTACCAACACAAAACACTCGAATTATTTATTGTTCTTATTCTGACAGAATGAATACATTACTGGTGCGGTCTTTGTAACTAAAAGAATGATTGTAAAAACGAAAGGAAGGAATGAATGTTTGAATGTTCTAAACAATTCCGATTTTCATCGTACCCGCAGTTTAAAATAAAATAAAGTTGATTAAAATCCGTTTAATCCGTACTAAACTGATAATGGCACTACAGAAATAAATATTTTTTATTAATGGAATTGAGAAAAACTGAAAAAAGGATGAGAAGAATATGTAATTTTGAAAATGAGAACCACAAAAAAGAGACAATTTCATAAATTGCAAAAAAAGCTTGGGAATCTTAACACAAAAAAAAGTAGAACGATAGGAATTGAAATAATAAGAGAAACTAGACAAATAGTCTAGTCATTATGCATGCGTGGTTTCAGGTTTGCCAAAATGCTGTCATATAAGTTCCGCTAGTGCATGMAACCACGAATTTCTGAATGGATTACCACTTCCATTAATAACGTGACATTGTGGTGATTGAATGACATTGAATTCACAAAAGAATGCGTAAGGGAATAAAACAGCGGAAAAAGAACGCAGTCATGAGAGGCAATGTAAAAACATTGGGGAAAAGTTTTACGCGTATTGGCTCCGTCTTCTGATGCCCATTTAACACTAATTTTAGGAGAGGGTTAGCCGTATACCGATGCATCACAGATTCTGGGGTATAATCCACTGAAGGCAATGTGCAGCGCCGCCAAAGCACGATGGTAGCTGTAGTCGTCCGCCAGAAGTACATAACTTCTGCGTCCGCTTAAACAGTCCGCCGTGTCCTTTTAAGCTTTTCCGTCGCAAATTATGAAAATTAGGTACAATTTGTCYCGATTTATAGAATCAAAACACCAAAAATGAAAAATGTTAAGCAAATAAATTTGTTTGGATGATACTTATACCTTTTTCAAAGTCAGAATAAGCAGAGYCTCTCAAGAGGATGTGTCTCTAGTTAGTAAGGCCATTCTCTTTTGATTTTCTTTTGCCAGAGGATTTAAAACATGGGTTGGCTCTCCTAGGGCCCAAGAGGGGTAAGTGTTTAAGAAGATCCATGGCTCGGGTTCAAATTCTGGGAGGCATGTGTCCACAGGCTTCTGGTAATAAGGCCTCTTGAAGGGGTTGATTTTTGCGAGCTACCTCTTTATACTTCAAATCACAAAAAATTGGGTGTCTTACGGATAAGATATTTAATTTTATTCGCCAAAAACATAAGAAATATGGAATTTCAAATCAAACGTGTTTGAGAGAAATCGAGTTTATTTTTCGAGATGTATTAAAGGGGTGAGCGTCACTGAAACTTTTCMGYTYAATTTTCTCCATTTWTAAAAATTTTGATACATCCTCATATAACCATTACAKTGGAAAACAAAAAGATAGTTCTTAAATGGCAAACAAATTTATTATCAAAGTTTTTTTTCAAATAGAGAATTATAAAGCTTGTTTCTTCTATGATGTCGCATTTGTCGTCATATYTGTGGGTTATCGCTGCGTTTAGTTAGGATCATGATTCTATAATCTGCTGTGGTTTCCATGCGTTACCCTATTTTACGTAAAAAGAAAGACGTATTAATCCAAGTATTTATTAATATATAACATCCATACAGGCAACTCAGCTGAAAGAAATATTGCATAAAAGGTTGAAACGGCTAGGAAAGGTTTGCAATGAGGTTTGCATTGATTTGCAGGCCTGAGGCAAAAGCCTTTAATCCCAACGCTATCCCGAGTTTTTGTCCAAGATTATTAGTTTTTGTTAAAGATCGTTAGTTTTTCAGAGTTGTTTTATTGGACTGACCTTCGAACATGTCTAAAAGGCCTTGTGAAAGTCGTCAGTTTCATTTCCTTCCTTGACCACTGAGATGGGACGGAAAGGATCTTCACTGCCCATCAAAAATTTCTAAAGAACAAACAAAGCAGATGAAAAATATAAGAAGCTTTTACGCAAAATAACAATAAGTAAAATAGCAAATRATAAAATAACAATACTTGGAACAACGAACTTACGTTTGCCCCACTAGTGAGAAGACAAAACGAAAATAGTATAAAAGTATAATTTCAGCTACTTGTGTCTGTCTTCACATATTTTAAAAACAAATTATGAATCCTTCAGTCTGTGTTCATACTTACATGGGCATACTCCATAGATTTTCTTCTCTCGTCAACACTTGCCCCACTTCCCACCCACACATAGCAATGATCGTCAGTTGACAGAATAAACACTGAAACGAAAACGAACTGTTAAACTGTAATTAGGCGCTCTTAGAGCGTGAAGTCARGCTACGTTTATGGAAAATTGAGATATAGAGGATAYGATTACATGGRYGCGCGGAGATACGGATTTTATCYGTCGAGTGTTGAAAAGATCTCTCACGAGTGAGCGTAGCGARGAAGATAAAATTCGTATCTCTAAGCGAACATGTAATATTCTAATTATCATATAATATAATATCATATTATAATAATAGAGGATRTTACATGGGCGCATAAAATTGGTATTTCCAAGCGGCCATGCAATGTTCTATTTATTATTAACGAAATATATAACGTCAAATTCTCTCCTCGTAAGCATTTGAATACAGACAGATTTCCCCATACATTCAATTTCACGTATCTTTCAAATGTGAATACTTCCAAATGCTCTATAAATTTTGCTATAAAAGTAGAGTGCAARCAATATATCCGTGCTATACTTACCAAAAACTAATTTTTACTATTTTTTACTAAATTAGTACAAACTATGACTAGTGTGGTCACTGGCCGTGAAAGCTTGCACATGCACACTAAATTTAGTATATTCACGCTCSGACTATTTTTCACTAATTATACTAAATTTCATTATTCTAATTTAGTGTTGTATGGATATATATTGTTTGCACTCTATAGTGAATGTTATATTTTAATGCAGCGACCAAAAAAAATGAGATGACGTCATAGAAATCCAAGAATACTATTACATCCAGCCGTCACAGCGACACGTACTATGTACTTATTGACTGAGTGGGAGGGCCGTRCGGGAAAACATTTGGCTCGAGGTTATGCCGTACGGACCGAGCGCAGCGAGTTCCGTACAAATGAMCGAGAGCCAAATATTTTCCCGTACGGCCCGACCTAACTCAGTCAATAAGCATTTTATCATATTACAGCGCTTTTTAATGCAAAAATAAAAGCGCGCGGAACTTCAAGCCGGGAAGATACGGGTGTGTATCACACACTTTAACATTACCATCTTTGGGGTTCAAAAGACTTTTAGTCACGGCTGAGCCACGACCAACTTCTTCACACTGTAAGCGTCCAGAAGCATCTGAAACCCTTCAAAAAATCAATCAGTCAATCAAAAAATAAATCAATCAAAAAATCAATCTTTCATTCATGTTATTAATTAATCAATCAATCAATGTTATTCGTTTAATCAATCAATCAGTCATTTATTTAATCAATCAATCACAAATTGACTTTCTGTGAAGGATTATCTGTGAAGGGATTATCTGTGAAGGGAGGTATACTCCACCGTTAACATAATTTTACTTTTTCCTTCACATTCTCAAAAGATTTAACAGCYAGCCACATGCAGTCAACGACTGCCTTTAATTAACTAGTATCATCACACTCACTTATTGAGCACTTTATCCAGGTGTTTTCTTGCACCCTAAGAAATAAAAAACACTCAATCAGTATAGCACAGTCTTTATATTAGATTTGCGAACGATATTTCATGAGCGGATGGATATGTAAGCTCTAATAAAGTTTATCGAACCCCATCCACCTTGTCCTTCTTTGGTTTTCCCTCTGGGATGACAGTTTCCAATTTAGGATGCATGTGGKATACTCTTTGCATGTCTGAAGTAGAAAGAACAATTAGAATGCATCCTGTTTACAACTAAAGTGGAATTCCTTAGTTCAACCCTTCGTGATTCAGAGCCTGGATAAGTTAGTAMATAGTTCGCTTTTGATAAGATAGGAAGCTTGTTTGATGGATCTCTCCAAATACGCTCGACATCTGAGTTAARCCGCTTTTTGRTTGGCTACCGAAAATGCCGGTTTCTTATATCGTCCATTATTGGCGGATCACTAGAAAACGAAGACCCTCGATTCTCGGGAAAAAAAGCGATCTGGAAAGCGAAGGACCCTGTGATTTCTCAATAAAATATCATGAAAAGATCCGACACATTAGGAAGAAACGATTGATGTAAGAAGAATAAAGAAGTTTGACGTTATTTTCCCTAGAATTGAGGGGGGTTCTTCGTTTTTCAGGGTCTTTGGTCTTCGTTTTCTAGGGACCCCATTATTATGTCTGTTAGTTTTTCGTGTATGGCGCCGAGATGTGCTCTGCCGATGACAGTGAAATTGGCTCAAAAATCCCAATTTACAAAAAAAACAACAATAACAAACAAACAAGAACAAAGCGAATATCGACCAACCACAGCTAGCCCAATCTCTGAAACCGTTGAATTTACGTTCCGAGCGCCAATTTGAATAGATAGATCACTTGATCAAACCTTCAAAAAAATCTTGGAGGTTTTGATCACGTGATCACCAACCATCACCAGGGACCCTGAGGGTCATCTCCATAGCCGACAACCGCCATCTTGAAAAGGAGCCGGTGGAGGTGTCCCTGGGGACGAGCATTTGGAGTATATGACTGAAGTGTGTCACATTAGAAATCTTGGACTTTTTCCTTGAAAGACATTCTCGTCTATCCCGACGCAAGGCTGATCGGAGCTCTGCTATAAGGTGTTACATCTTAATTTTTATTTTAGGCTAAGGGTTATTACCTAGATTGTGGGACTTGACTTTTCCACCACGCTCAGACTAAAGTAAAAACCAAATTGGTTAAATTTACATAATATGCTAAATGTGCAACAACAACAACAACAACAAMAATAGATATTTCAACCTTMAGTATCGATAAGAATTCCTAAGCATTAACTATTCACGTATATATAGTGAACACATCATTAAATCTTAATATACATTACCTCAAGTTGCTGGACATACTGCTGAGCTGAAAACTTCTCGTCTTTGTTGGCTCCAGCTCCATTCCACTAGATTTATAAGAAATCATACACGGATTTTTAACAATGATTGTACAAAAAAAACTACACCATGGCTCACTCGCTTGGGCATTCACTTGGAAAAGMAGTCAGGCATTCTGTGGTATTATGATGTTCGTAATAAAAACCATCCAAGATTTGCATTCCAAATTGCAGGCGCATACTTATTGAAATTAATGGCCCTGAAAAAAAAACCCTAGGCACTTAAATCATTTCGCATCGACGCCACATGGCAATTTCGTACTGCGCATGCTTGGCAAAAGGCAGCATCAATCAGAGATCCAAAAATGTTTTCATCGTCATATATTAGTCCCGTTTGTGCAACAGGAAGCCCAAATGTTGTAGATGCATGTACGCACATCGTTACTTTTTTGGAGATTACTCTTACAAGTAAGTTGGTCCATGTACAAAAAAMTTCGGTTTACTTTAAGTAGATTCTTTTCTTTAAACATTGGATTAAAAATTGTTAAGTTAGCCAGACAAGGTGTGGTGTTACTCTGACTGTATCTGTTGTTTACATGACATTTTAGGTTAAATATATTTAAATCCCACAAATTTTGGCATATTTTGAATAAACTAGAYGCTCGTCGGRTTAGMTATTTTGGAAAACTCGTTCGCGTGTCCGCGCACCCAATGTAATATCYTGTCTTTCTCAATTTTCCAAAATAGTTAGCCCGACTTCATGCTCTAAAAGCGTCTAGTTTAGAGTCAAATCTCATCTTGCGGAAGCTCCAATACTAAGAGAACTTAAATAAATCCCACCTCCAAAGAAAATGAAGAAAGTTACTCTCTGTACAGTGATTACTTGCTTTTGCTAAATTCTATTCAATGGAAAATGAACTATGCATGGAAATTCTGAATTTGAACGAGTTGCGCCAAAWTTGCAGTGTGTCAAGTCTCACCTGATAGACGTCCAGACCAAGATCCACAATAAACACATCGTCATCCGTCATGTTGGCTCTTTTCAAGGCTTTTTCGATAACCCTCACTTTCCTCTGAAACATGAAAATGTATTTGAGAAAAGGCAGCAAAAAATGACTTAACAGACCAATGCGTGAGGCGAAGATGCGCCCAAAGTTCTCACAGGTAAATTGATTCGATGATGGCTGCTGTTTTGCAGCATGGCGATGACGACGCAGCTCGGGAAGTCTTGAGGTTCGAGTTGCCTTAAAGATCTTTTGCCCATTGTTGCAAGTGCACGCCATAAACGACGATCATACGCAAAAAGACTCGAAAGATGAGGGGGGCAATTTCGTATCCTTTGAGTGTGGCTTTAAGAACATCTTTGTACCGCTTGCGCTTCCCTCCTTTCTCCCTTTTCCCTGATTTGAGCTCAACAAATAGCAGTGCCTTTGGAATTCTCAGTTTCAGGGTCTATGCGCACCACATGTCCGGCCCATCGAAGTTGTGCACGACGGACAATCGACTCCACACTTTCAATACCACAAAATGTCAATAATGAATACTCTATAAGTGTTAGCATACCCCTTCTCTGGTGAACTGCATCATACGTGGTGAGTATGCCTCTGGCAGGACACGGTTAAAACCAGTGTCAGCTCTGTGTAAAAAAATAACAACATAGAGATTAAACTATCAAAATACATTGTATGAATTAATATAAATAATAAAATAACTATTACATCACGCGTCTAATGCATGCGTGCATCAAAGAGTTGTTGCTATTTTATAAAAGCTAAGATATTTTACAATTCTAAGAGGGAATGGAAACACGGAAAACAATAAAAAACTAGACCCTGAAAGCAGGGTTAATTCGTGCCACTAAATGTTGCAAGTACTTGCTTACTGCGTCTTACTGTAATCGACGAAACGAAACGAAACAACGCGGGAATCTGTATTCAACAAAACGAAACGAGTTTAACTCTCTAGATATACAATAGTTTTTGACAAATTTTTAAAAGCGTAGACACAGTAAACGTCACGCACRGCAATACAAACGTGACTCAATCTGGCTAGGCAACGAGCTTGCGTAAAGCGGGCTATCAAACCTCATCGTTCACCCCGATAGTCATTTTTTTACACAAACCTTTATAACCCAAACCAATGTCCTAATGCATTCTCTTACACAAATGAATGAATTGGAATAACAAAAGTTCCGATTATAGTTACCCACATAGCTTACTATATAATCGACGATAGATCAGTTATCCCTTATTCAGAAAYATTTGAATGAGAATTTAAAGATTGTACAATTTTCTTAACATATCGGAGGGGGGGGGGGGGGGGGGGGGGGGGGGTGAGCGGTTGGTAGAATTTTCGTTTTGTGTCGTTGATTATAGTAACCTGTGTGGGTAACTATAATCGCCGAAATGCATGCAGCTAATTCTTTGAGAATCGAGTCTTTTTGTTATTCCAAAACATTCATTTGTGTAAGAGCATATATTAGGACATTCGAAAAGCGATTTCGATTTGTTAACTTACCCTCCCTTCATCATCACAAATGGATCAAAGTAGGTTTTGAACAAAGCTGATTCATGGCCCTGGACTTCACGATGCTGTACTGGCTTGTCATCCAGCTAATCATATAAGCAATCTTATCAGAGTCTATACACTCAACCAGTGATAAAGTTGGTCTAGTTTGATCTCATTTTATTAATTATTTCTTCTGTTTTCATTGAAATATTGCAGTCACACAATGATCTAGTTAGTATTTCACTGGTGAAGTGTAACAAATTTTAATTGAATGAATAGGGTACAAAGAACATTCCTGCAAACAGATGRGAAGTTGCAGCTSAAAAGGGRTCTTATTTGTAAATCTTTTGCTTTGGACTGCATATAAAACYGTTGCATCATCAAAGGGGTCTTAGTCCTTAGGACCCTTTTTAAGTTGCAACACCTCAGATACTTATTAAACACATTAACTCTAAATTATGCTAACCTTTGTTTTCTATTGTCTTATCGACAACAGTATGAATTAGCACTAATCATTAGGAGTCCTTAATTAACGATTAGGTACCAAAATAAACCAGTATTTATAGGAACATTTGACAGGTACTTTTCCAAAGTCACCCACTTATGCTTCATCCAGCATTTTCTCTGGAGTTTGTTTACGCTAATTTACACAATATGTACACTCCTGATTTTTCTTTATTTCACATTTACAGCCTGTGTACATCCTTTCCCATCACCCATAACAAGGAGATACAAAAAAAAGTCATCAACAAGGCATGTCTTTAGAAGTGACTGGCACTTCTCCAAAAATGTAAATCTCTCAAATAACTGATTGAACACAGCACATAATCTATATATACTCACAAAGGTGTCCAGCTCTACTGTCTTGTAGGCTGCAGTACCATATTCATCCTGGGTTGACTCTTTTCCAATCCAAAAATGAACATCATAGGACAACTCCTAAGAAAATCAAATCAAATAATCCTTGTAATCCAAAACAATTAACAGTGGGAAAAAATGATTATTTCTATTGACTCTAGTAGTGAAGTGAAAATCAATGCAGCCAGATCATGGTGTTGAGAAGGAGCTTAAAAAGAATCTAGTGGTATGATCTCCCTTCTAATATTAAGACTAATAATATTAAGATTAAGTTATTTTTTTATCAAAGGAAGCAATTAGAGTAAGGAACAACTAAATAAAAGAGAAATATTCATTTTATAACACATACCTCACTGTTAGGATCTTTTTTGTATGTGCGCAGAACGATGTACGAGTCCCCATTAAAAAACTTCCCATAATCTTCTTTGGGCAATTTGGTTACCTGAGATAGATTGTTATAATGCCATATTTGCAGAATGAAAAGCACAATGACATGTGGTTACATTTGTGCATAAACTAGCTCTTGAATATTGGACTCCAGATATTTCATGTGAGTCCGTTGCAATAAGTCTCTTGCAATAATGAAGAGTTACTGAACAGAGAATAATTTTTGCAAAGAGGAATGCTTGTCACACTTTGAGCTCAAAACATTTTTGATTACAAGGGATAAATGTTAAAATGAAATTATAAAAAAAAAATAAATGAATATTACATAAATAAATAAATGAATGAACAAATAAATAAAAAATGGAATAAATAAATAAATAAATAAGTAAATAAATAAACAAATAAATGAATAAATAAATAAATAAATAAATAAATAAATAGATAAATAACAATGTATATTTTCATCTTATATAATAAAGTGGATTATATCTAACATGCCTTCCTCCCAAAATCATAGAAGCAACAGATATATTTTTACAAGAAAAAAAGATAGAAGAAAAATGAGTAATGACTAAAGAACAAAGAAAATTAATCAATCAGTCAATAATCCAGTTTCGAATTCTCCAATGCTTTGTGTTAGCCTCATTTGTGCGCAAAATATTTCGTAATTGTGAGAATAAAAGTGTGAGATTTCATATCAATTCTAGTGTCTTTCTTTTCAAATCCCATGCGTTTCACAGGCTATCAATAAAACAAAAGAATATGTTACTTTGTTTTGAGGTTAACACAGATCAAACCAGAACTCGAAATTGGAATAGTTATTAATTAAGAAACAACAATCACCTTAAATTTAACAATCCTCCAAACTTGAATACCAACTTTGGTTCCAGCTCCTTCCCAAGCTGGCTCTCCTGAAGCAGACTCTTTCTTGACCTTKAMAAAATTAGACAGTTTGAAAAAATTAGCAATAGAATAAAAAACTACATGAAATACATGGAAGAAGAATTATGCAGGTAAAGACAAAAAGTATTTCAATAAAATTCCTAACAATGTGTTGTTAAAAATAACATTTYGACTAAATGTGCAAACGCAAATCATGTGCTGTTGAATAATATTTTTCTATGCTTCTKTATTTCATCACTTAATACTATTATTTAAATTTSATTAATAAATTATTATTTTTATTATTATCAGACATGCTCATAATAGTCTCAAAAAGCATCTACACGAATAAATTAAGAGTTTTTAATATTTCCATTAAATTGTTCTCTTAGACTTATAATTAGCTTTTTTAAAAGCAGTTCAAACTGCGTCTAAGGTCAATCTTTAGTTTACGCAGTCACGCAACGCTCCTGGTTGCGTGGCATAACGAGGTCTGATCAGTTCTTGCTTTCAATAATTTACGTTGTACAAAGTGAATTGTTTCGTGTAACACCAACTAGCGGATCGTAAATGAGGTTATTCACGACCTCAGATAAAACAACTCAGCCATGAACAATAATACAAACCTACATTATTACCCGCAATAACTACACAATTTACTCTTGCTGTCCGTCTCGTTTAGGCATTTTCCCGGGAATAATTTAACTCTATGGATGTGTAATATCCTCATAAAATACTACAATTTTATATACATTCAAAAGCACCTTTCTATATTATAGAAAATATTGTACAACATAATGCTTTAAGAAGCAGATTAACTAAGAACACTTGAAGCGTATTGTTAAAAGTAGATTTATATACAATAATCATCAAATACTTTTTTTAAATGTTGCTGCTGTGTAATGCGCTGTGTTCAATGCTACTTGGACAGTTTTATTAATTGCAATTCGATATAAATACCACGGATGACAGCTCTTGTGTTGAACCAACTATATATGATTGCATGAACAAATTTCTGCAGTTGCAGCTTTTCACTTTTAAAATTACCATTTATATCCTCTCCTTGAAAACTTCCCATTTAAGGGGAAAACWTTRGGCTTTAAAAGATTTTCCGCCTATTGTTTTCAACGAACAAGACAATTCTTTTACATTCGGGACATTGTGCAAAAAGCTCAATCATAAATTACATCTGCACAAACGACCAAAGTAAATACAAACTACTCACATTTTTCTCTAAGTCAGACCCAAACAGGGCTAGATTAGAGTCTTTCCAATCGTATTTCTTAGCTTTTCGGAGACCAGACATTGTAAGTTCTTCGTTCAAACAGCCAGAAACACCCAGAACCTTTGACACGCAGATGGGAGTGACTTTCATTAGCAAATAACATTCCTTATATGGACCCACAAATTGCCCGACAAGTTATCACACAATCACAATGTCACGCGCTATTGTGTCTACATTGAAGSTCACTGTTTAGGCGGTAAACACCGGCTAGATGAAAAGTGTAGTTTTTATCGCATTTATGGGCGGAGGGCCACTAAATGTGGGAAGGGCCACGTTTTTTTGGAAGTGTGCTTGGGGAGGGATCCGAGGACCGCGCGGAGATAGGGATTTTATCTTCGAATGTTGAAAAGATCTTTCCAAACAAGAAGATATTAAATTCGTATCTCCAAGCGACCATGTAATATTCTGTTTATCATATAATTACACATAAAGCAAATTATGTCGTAAAATACCTTTTCTTCTTAAGTCCACTATATAGTGAAACCTCGAATATGTTATTTTCACTATAGTGAAAAACCGGAAGTACTTTTAAGTGATCAAGATAGATAGATAGATAGATTTGTTTATTTCCACTTCTTGCAATATAAGCATCACTGAATTACAAGTGGGGTCAGGATAAATAATAAATATGATTAGATAAATTCACAATAAATAACTACTGGGTTGGCTGTGTTATTACATGACCGGAAGCTCAAACGTTATAGATGTACGAACATCTTTAGTAACTGTTAATGTGATATATTGAAGTGATCCCCCCTCATAGGTAAAAATAATGCTAGTGATCCCACCTCCCTCTATCTATAGCTCGTAATTTAAAATGTCATAATGAATTTATGTGCAATTAAGTAATAGATAACTTTTTCCGTGTTTACATATCGCTGAATGAAAACATTTACTTCTTATCTTCGTCGATTCACTGATTTGAAGTAAAGCTTTATGTTACGTTTCCTTTCAGAATTGGTATGGAACAATGATATCAAGATGAGATTTTTGAAAAACTGCAGGAATATACTTACTGAAAGACTTTGTTTGGTTGTTTCTGTGCGTACCAGAGCACAGTATACGTCATCGGAAACTATATTATTATTCATGCAATAATTCAAATATGAAAGTTAGTAGTAACGTAAATATACAAATACATAATCACTCTATGTTTTCCACTCTGAGTCCACACTGTGCTCACTAGCCCATCACACTGACCACACTAGTCCACACTGCCCACACTAG